AGCGGCAGATGCAACTTATCTCTGCCGCGACTCGAGGGTGAACGGCAGCAGTATGATTCCTCGTATGTACGAAATCGGCCGAGCGCAATTGCGAGAAACACGGTCCACGGTTGCGACGATCCGTCCACTACCGCTGCTGCATGTGAGGTGGCTTCTTTTAGTGATCATGCGACTGGCGAAACTGCAAGTGCTGCATTCCATGTACCTGATAAAAGTGCTGCTGTGCAGAAGGGCCTGGCCTGCGTGAAAACTACATGGAAAGTTTTTGCTATCATCGACAGGACTGCAGTCGGTCGAGGTTTTCGATACCGCGTTAAGTGGTGTGACGAACTGGATGGTCATCGGTGGGAAGACACTTGGGAGCCTGGTTTCATGTTACGCAAGGATGGTTTTAGCGATGGTTGCAGTATTGTAGACGCATGGAAAGCTTCCGACGAGGCAGACTTCTACCGCTTCTGCAGCAAGAATGGGCATGTCCATTTAGTGGGAGCTTCGCCTAAAGGTATGTGCGCCGTTTTATGCTGTAGGTGTCGCTGCGAAGCTACTAGGGATCACTGGCTGGAACTCGTCAAGCGTGGCTCAAGATTTTATTTCCTACTGCGCCAACCGGGGTCGGCCTATTTCTCCTAGTGGATTAACCTACGGTGAGCTTCGACACTACGTGAGATTTGTGAATGGGCGTAATACCACTGGAGGACAGATCAGTATGTCCGCACTGGACAAAAACTTACTGGGTGGAGTGAATGGAAAGCTGGCCGGCCAACGTCTGCGTGTAATCGATTTAACGGAAGGTGGATACGTTTGTGCCGCATTCAACTTGATGGGAGTAAGCCATTGTATCGCCATCCACGTTGTCTGTGGTGAGAAGTACGTCTACGATGAGGAAAACGATTCGGTCGCTTTAGGCGCCTATGATTTGGACTGGATTTACGGGATCTCTTTTCTGCGTAGAGTGGCGTTGTACGTCAAGTGATTGCCTTTACAGCGATGCTGTCACAAGTTCGAACATCGTTTTTTTATAGGGAGTTGTTGCCGTCTGCGGGCCTAACTCACACAAGGTAGCACCCCTAAGTATCAATACGTATTTATATACAGTGAGTTCCATCTCGTTTTCATTCTTTTTTTTGATTGCAGCTCACAGATCGACAAATATTTACAGTGTATTCTATTAATACAATGGGTTTCATAGAATTTTCATTCCTTTGCAGCACACAAAGCGATCAATTACGACGATGCGTCTTCACCAAGCAGTCTGGTTGTATGCTTCCCTCCACGGCAACGATTATGCGCGAGCGTACGCTAAGGAGCGACTACAACTGTCAGAGGATGCTCGTCGTGTCCGCGATTCGAAGTGGCTACTTAACAAAGGGGGTGTCCGTCTTCGTGAGCAGTGGCGTGCGCTTCCTTCTCCAAAACGGCGACGGCTTCTTCAGGAGACACCTGACCTGTCGTTTCCAGAAGGGGTTGATGGAATACTAGATGAAAGGCGTCGAGTTCCAGACCCCCGCTGCAGAGCTCCCACCAAGCTTACAAGATGCAAATCAAGTGATCGCTACACATGAGCTCGAACCTACGACCGCGACCCCCGCTGCAGAGCTCCCGCCAAGCTTACAAGAGGCAAATGAAGTGATCGCTACACATGAACTCGAACCTACGACCGCCACCCTCGTCACAGAACCTACCTCGACAGAAGAGCGGTCGTCTCCTGCGATTCAACTCTCGCCGTCAGTCTTGGAGTCCGCACGGGAGTTGTCTGCTACTGATATGACATCGCCAGATGTGGCCGACAAAGTAGTTCGCATGGCGAATGCACGCAGCAATTACCACCAAATACTGTGCGAAGAGCATCGATTGCGTGTCCGCGCTGAATACAACCGCGGAAGCCTCGCAGGGGTGCTCGAGTCAGCGGCATCTAGTGTCATTAGCGCTGTAGCTCTAGCTAAGGCTGATTGCCCAACAACGAGTGACGAGGCTTTTGCTGCAGTTTGTACACGACTTACGTGTGTTCTAGGAACGATGTTGGGAACAGCTCAATTCGATCCAGATCCTGACGATGACCAACCATCCCGAGCCTTTTCTGAATCTCGAATCCAGGCAGCGCGCCGGAAATACGATGTAAGCGTGCCGGAAGTGCAGGCAGCATGTGATGAAGAGCACGTAGGGGCTGCCTGCAAGCTCTTCCCAGCCGCACACCGCAACAGATACTTTGGGAATTTGTTAGCACTGATGCAGTTGGTATATTTGAATTGCGGAAACCATTAACAATGGAA